ATATTCATACACTGATCAATGCAACATTCACACTTGTCTTTGAAACTAGTTTTCAGAGCTCATCAAGCACACGTCTCCATATTTATGGAGCTCATATACACACTTAATTCTAGTAATACCAGAGTGATATCTTCCTAATGTAAGGCTGCCGGAAAGTTGTCCCTCACTCAGGTGGAATCTCGCTTGGTATGGACACCCTCAACTCTTTTCCAGCACCCACTCACCAGGGAGAGTCCAACAATCATACACCGCCACGGTACCGAACCCCACGACACCGCAATCCTTACCACAAAGGAACGTCACTCAAAAATGAGGAGATCAGACATGCTGACTCAACAGAATTGGAGCGTTCTCCTGCTCGGATCAATGTGGAGTTTTACGATACCATGGTTCAGTGCCAATTGATACAGACGCGCCCACGGAGAGCCGTGGATAGATCAAAGTCACGTGGCCAGCCAGCCAGAAACTCACTCAAGAAAAGAAGACAAACACCGTACAACCCCCACTAGGGGGTTGCCTAAGTCAAACCCCCACTACTAGGATCAAACACTCAAAAATAATAATGTATTACTTAATTGAAATAAAACAAGAGTCGACTCCACAAGAGAAAAAGAAAAATGCTTAACTCAACATTCAGCACCTCTAGAACTCTGAAACATCCATCCGCCTGTTATAACAGCATTCAGCACTCATACCCAACATTCAGCAGATATAATGAATATATAGCAGAGACAGACAACATTCAGCATATACACAAAACATAGCAAATATAAACAGCATTCAGCACATGTAACATACAACAAGCACAGGACTAACACCCCAGAACATTTAAACATAGAAAAACAAGACAAACAAGACAAACACCCGTTTCCCGTTTCACCACGCCTCACGCGTGACCCCACCTGGGGTTATTGGGCCCAATGCGTTCACCTCACTTATGAACGTCTTATCACTAAGTTCTTCCTAGAACTTTTTCACAGTTCACCTCACTTATGAACTTATCATTCCGTTCTCCCTAGAACGTCACATCAACTGCAGGATCACTCTAAGAAGCTTCACAACACATAACACACATCTAACCCTCTCGGCCCAGTGCACAGGGTGAGTTATGCGGCGCTGTTTCGGATCCTTTTACTAGTGCAGCAAATCCGCCAACTTTCTGTGGAACACTGTTAGGCCTTGAGTGTCAATTCCTTAATCCTCTGTATTCTATCTGACTCCATTTTACAATACAGGCTTGCAGACACATTGCTCAAGACAAAACACTACAACAGACACACACACACACACATACATTGCATGCATCTTTTATTTTTGAGATCTAAAAAACCCTCTTTTCTAAATTTTGTTCATAATTTACAGGAGCTTTTTGTGAGGGGAAAAACACCATCTCAGGCTGACCCATAGGAAACCACGCAAGTATTTATCCAAAAAAGCAGAAAACTGCTTACCTTTTTTGAGTGGCCACGCTTGCGCGGCTTCTCCAGGGTCAGCCTCACCGGAGAGTCTCCCTCTTTGCTCCTAGACAAATCACGTCGGGGTCACCAATTTGTTGTGGATAAAATCAACCTTTCTAGCCTAAGTCAAAAAACTTCTAAGACAGAGAGTTTATTAGATGTCAAAAGTAATAAACTTTATTGGAAACCAACAAAGGTGACTGTCTGCAGAGAGTCCAACTTGTAAATACACAAACATGTCTTTATATACCTGCCAAAACAGTAAAAATAATTCCTAGGTGTGGCATTCAACTTTTCTTTTTAGAACTGACCAATCTCTATAGCCTTAATTAATTATTCATGTCTATACCTTATCTTAAATTTGTGGAGCATGCGCAGTGAGTTGATTTTCCTGAAAAGGTTTTATAAGGACAAGTTTTCTTCTTTTTAACAAGGAGAAGGTTTCACCCAGGCTTATCTGTCCTGTCCTTGAACCACACTCCCACCCTCGAAGCCCTCTTTTTTCTTCATCTGACAGGCCCCTGGCTTCAAAGTTTTCTCCAACAAAAGTGAACGCATAATGCCCAATTATTGCTGTGTACAAAGGTGCCAGTTGGTACAGAAGAACTTCTTTGGTGCACAGTAAGACATGGCATTCATCCAATTCAAATCTATTCAGAATATAATTGACCAACCATTGTTCAATGAGTTTAGATTATTCTTACAACTATGGACTATACATACAGATTATGCTTCTTGACCCACACAGTTATTTGAATATGCCTTAAGTAACTCTTCCAAATGCAGGCCACACACCGAATACACTTCATTAACATATCCAGAAGTGAGCCGCACATATTGATCACACGTCCTAGCTATTTTCTTATACATATTTTGATATATTTTCTATACTCTTCAGGCTGTTAAAGCGCTATTCAGCGATTCTGAAGCGGCTGGGAGCTTAGGAAAGTGGTTTTTCTAACAAACATATAATCATGTGCGTGACATCCTCCAAAATGATATCACTGGCATAATATAATACTAGGACATGTATCTGACCTCAAATGATACGAAATATAATTGTTTATATAAAAATGAACAAGTTCTCATTGATGTATGGTAATGTGAAAAAAGTGACATTTGAAGTGCAGACGGTTAAATTTTTTCAAAAGTGCTCTAACTTATCGTGTTTACATTCCTCCATTGTGGCCATGTACAGATGTGCTCTTTAGGCTGATAAAACGCTATACAGCGATTCTCAAGCGGCTGGGAGCTTAGGAAAGTGTTTTTTCTAAAAAACTCATATAATCATGTGCGTGACATCCTCCAAAATGATATCACTGACATAATCTAATACTAGGATATGTATCTGACCTCAAATGATGCGAAATATAATTGTTTACATTAAAATGAACAAGTTCTCAATAAAGTATGATAATGTGAAAAAAGTTACATTTGAAGTGCAGACGGTCACTTTTTTTCAAAAGTGCTCTAACTAAGCGTGTTTGCATTCCTCCATTCTGTCCATGTACAGTGGTGCTCTTCAGGCTGTTAAACGCTTAGGAGCTTAGGAAAGTAGTTTTTCTAAAAAACTCATATAATCATGTGCGTGACATCCTCCAAAATGACATCACTGGCATAATATAATACTAAGACATGTATCTGACCTCAAATGATATGAAATATAATTGTTTACATTAAAATGAACTAGTTCTCAATGAAATATGGCAATGTGAAAAAAGTGACATTTGAAGTGCAGACAGTCACTTTTTTTCAAAAGTGCTCTAACTAAGCATGTTTACATTCGTCCATTGTGTCCATGTACACTGTCTCTCCTGTAAAACGCTATACACGATCTACTGACTTAAAAGTTTTTAAAAACCATATAATCATCAAACCCCAAAAAAAACAAGTTCTCATTGATGTATGGTTAAAAAAGTGACATTTAAGTGCAGCGGTCATTTTTTAAGCTCTAACTAAGCTGTTTACATTGGTCCATTGTGTCCATGTACACTGTGCTCCAGCTGTTAAACGCTATACAATTCTCAACTGGAGCTAGGAAAGTGGTTTTTCTAAAAAACTCATATAATCATGTACGTGACATCCTCCAAAATGATATCACTGAAATAATATAATACTAGGACAAGTATCTGACCTCAAACGATACGAAATATAATAGTTTACATTAAAATGTACAAGTTCTCATTGATGTATGGTAATGTGAAAAAAGTGAAATTTGAAGAGCAGACGGTCACATTTTTTCAAAAGTGCTCGAACTTATCGTGTGTACATTCCTCCATTCTGTACATGTACAGTGGTGCTCTTCAGGCTGTTAAAACGCTATACAGCGATTCTCAAGCGGCTGGGAGCTTAGGAAAGTGGTTTTTCTAACAAACTCATATAATCATGTGCGTGACATCCTCCAAAATGACATCACTGGCATAATATAATACTAAGACATGTATCTGACCTCAAATGATACGAAATATAATTGTTTACATTAAAATGAACTAGTTCTCAATGAAGTATGGTAATGTGAAAAAAGTGACATTTGAAGTGCAGACAGTCACTTTTTTTCAAAAGTGCTCTAACTAAGCGTGTTTACATTCCTCCATTGCGTCCATGTACAGTGGTGCTCTTCAGGCTGTTAAAACGCTTAGGAGCTTAGGAAAGTAGTTTTTCTAAAAAACTCATATAATCATGTGCGTGACATCCTCCAAAATGATATCACTGACATAATATAATACTACGACATGTATCTGACCTCAAATGAAACGAAATATAATTGTTTACATTAAAATGTACAAGTTCTCAATGAAGTATGGTAATGTGAAAAAAGTGACATTTGAAGTGCAGACGGTCACTTTTTTTCAAAAGTGCTCTAACTAAGCGTGTTTACATTCGTCCATTGTGTCCACGTACACCTGTGCTCTTCAGGCTGTTAAAACGCTACACAGCGATTCTCAAGCGGCTGGGAGCTTAGGAAAGTGGTTTTTCTAACAATCTCATATAATCATGTGCGTGACATTCTCTAAAATTATAGTACTGGCATAATATAATACTAGGACAAGTATCTGACCTTGAGCGATACGAAATATAATTGTTTACATTAAAATGTACAAGTTCCCAATGAAGTATCCCAGACGAAAAGAATATTAGAAAAGAGCTCTCAAAAACATCTCATGTATTTCTCCTAGACAACAATGAGGTCTGTGTGAAACCAAAATACGAGATTATGGCTTATTTCTCCTGTTTCTCTATTTTCTCTCCTGGAGAAAAAGCCACACAAAATCTCAACGTTGCCTCCTTTTAATTTAAGTTTCAAAATAGATCTCATCAAGCTCTCAAATAATTCTCAGATTGTCTCCAGTTTGGTATGTCTTTTTTATCTCAGGCAGAGAAACCAGAGAGCTCTTTCTATGATCTCAATCTATTCTCATCCCAGTCTAATTCGTACATCTCATGGTGAGCTCAGACAGCACAAATAAAGATCTCCAACACTCCAACACTTTCTCATCCATACTTAATGGTTTCTTTAAAAAAAAATCATAAAGAAACTCAGGGCGCACGGTGGCTTAGTGGTTAGCACGTTCGCCTCACACCTCCAGGGTCCAGTGTTCGATTTCTGCTGTGTGTGCATGTTCTCCCCGTCCTCCCCAGTCCAAAGACATGCATGGTAGGTTGATTGGTAAATTGTCCATGGTGTGTGAGTGTGTATGTGATTGTGCCCTGCGATGGACTTGCACCCTGTCCAGGGTGTACCCCGCCTTGTGCCCGGTGCTTCCTGGGATAGGCTCCAGGTTCCCCACGACCCTGAAGCAGGAATAAGCGGTTGAAGATGGATGGGTAAAGAAACTCAAATACCTGGTCCTCATTGTAATGAATTTTATATGCTTGTCCATGACAAAAACAAACTTCCAAGACATTTTAAATATGTTTTGATATTTACAGTGGGTGTCTGTGCTCTCAACAGACATAAGGCATGCACTACAATATTTGTGCAAAAGCAGAGAAGAGGAGTTATCAAAAATAAATTTGAATTTCATTCAATTCTGAAGACATTCAGTTTGGATATCAGAGGGGAAGTGCAGAGTGATTAGTGTGAGCAAGTCACTTAGCACTTCTCCTGTTATTTTGTGTCTGTTTGCAAATTTCATTATGAGTAGAAGGCTTTCTGCCACAGAAATGGGTGCATCTCTGTAAAGTGGACTATCTCCAGTGTTTGTTGAGTTTTGGAGTTTTGTTCCCTCCTCTATGTTTAGCTCTACATTGTCCTCAAATGATAGGTCATCATCAAATGTCAAGTTACCATCTGAAGTCCCCTGCTCAACAAATTGAAATGCATCTGTGTCAAAAAACAGTTCACTCTCTGATTCTGCATTAAGGCCAGTGCGATGTGTCTCTGACGGGTTTTCCAGATCAGCAAAGTCCTCAGCTTCCAGAGTAGCAGGACAAGGTACTCCTTCGGTGCAATAGTCATCTGGCCTCCACCTTGATTCTAGAAACCAAAAGAAGATAAATGTTGTAATACATTTTATAAATTTGTTGTCAGTCATGCACACAAAATGTTAAAAAGCAGCATTGGTAAGTTTGTGGCTCACTAAACTTGTGGTTATTTTCCATAGTAATTCTGGAAATCTAAACACATTACCAATTACTATACATCAAGATGTCAGAGTAAGCCAAAGATGCTAACCAGGAGATGTCTTAATTGAAGGTACCTCCAAAACTGATTATTGGACAGACCGAACTGCTCAACCAGGTTGCCAAAAGACTTAAGTATGCCTCCTTCATATAAATGACTCAGAGTAAGGATCCCTTTATTCACCCACTCTTTCCAAATTACTGAGGATTTGCCAATTAGTTTAGGATTGTCCCAAATCCCAGAAGACATAGTTAAATATGGGGTTATTTTAGTAATATGGGCTATTTTCCTCCAGATTTCCTGTAAATGTGCTATGATGGGATGAGATCGAGCATTTGGTGGCATTCTGGCAGACAAGAACAACAATGGGGGAAACGATGTGAAAATTGACTGTTCCATTGAGTACCATGGAGGAGCTCTTTTAGGGGGAAGCGCCCAGTGTGCCAGGTGTCTCAAGCTAAAGGCATAATAATAAAACAGCATATTTGGAAGACCCAAACCACCCTTTTCTATCGTTTTTTTTTTTTAGTTTTTTCAGATGCATTCTAGGTTTTTTGCCATTCCACAAAAACTTTTTACAAAGTACATCAAATTGTTGAAAGTATTTGGTAGGGATATCCAAGGGAAGGGACTGAAAAATATAATTTATTTTGGGAGCACAGTTCATCTTGATAACATTGACCATGTCCCACAGAGAGAGATAAAGCGGAGACTACCTCTACATATCTGTGTTGATTTTTTCTAGGAGCGGTTGCAGATTACATTTCACTATATCACTAAGTTGTCACTTTTTTCTCCAGGACTGCCATTGCTCTCATATTCTGTCTCTTCCTATGGGATGAAAACTGAATTACATGACCCCTTATGAAAGCTTTGAAGGCTTCCCAAGTTGTACCAGCTGACAGGGAAGAGGGAACATTTATATCAATAAAAAGATCCATTTGAGTTTTCAACATTGCTTTGAAGGCATCATCTTGCAGGAGAGATGAGTTGAATCTCCATCTAGTTGATTTTTTAACTTTGTCAGCAGGAACCAAATTGAGCGACAGCATGGCATGGTCGGATACTAATATGTTCCCAATAATGCATGACACTGTAAATGGGAGCATTTCTTTAGAAATAAAGAAATAGTCGATCCTGGTAAACACGCCGTGCATTGCCGAGAGAAATGTATAATCCCTCCCAGTAGGGTTAAACAGCCGCCATACATCCACGAGACCAAGAGCAAAGCACAATTTTTTAACAACACTTAGCGACTTAGGTGGTCTAGCTTTGCTGGGGCTACTCCTGTCAAGGACTGCGTTACCATTACCATGTTCATGTCCCCTGCCCATATGATTGGGTAGCTGCCCATATCAATCAATTTACATTCCAAATTGGCAAAGAATCCAGGATATATATAGAATAGTCTGTATGGTATGTAACCATAAAATTTGACAGGTCTAGGTCAAAGGTCAAATAGATATGGGTCAAAGGTCATGGTCATAAAATTAGATACGACACCTGTTGTGGCCATGTAGGTCCCCATCCGTTACGGATAAACATAGACACACTATTAACACGTAGGACATAAAATTAGATATAGCTATGTTAAATCAGGATCAAATACAATTCTGACACACACATTACGACACCTGTTGCGGCCATCCCCATCTGTTACGGATAAACATAGACACAATGTTCACACGTAGGTCATAAAATTAGATATAGTTATGTTAAATCTGGATCACATACATTTCTGACACACACACACACACACACATTACCACACCTGTTGCGGCCATCCCCATCTGTTAAATCAGGATCAATTACAATTCTGACACACGCACATATGTTCTCCACACACGGTGCACTTTCTAACACTCTGAGGTAGTTCATAAATATATATATAGTTATGTTAAATCTGGACCACATACATTCCTGACACAAACGTTACCATACCTGGGACGGCCATGTGTATAACGCATCCAACCAGAAATATGACACACACACACACACGTGCACGTACATACAAACGCATACATACGAACCTGTTTATAAAAGTCGAGCATCTCCTCTAGGTTTCCTAATACTCTGTACTTAGATTGACGTGTGCGAGCTTACAACATGGCTGATGTCTGTCCTAACGCGCCGAAAAAAGCTCACCCTTTTTTGGCAAGAATAGAAAAAATGTTAGAACATGAAAAGATTCAATATTGGGTAATGTCAAACGGATGTACAGCCGGGGTTTTTTTCGATGCAGAAAAAGAAACCGTTTTGCTTTTCAAGTTCTCGGTACCGGGACACATACACTGGAGCCGTGCTACAGAGAGCGTAACTTTTAACGAAGGTGACTGGAAAAAGTTCAGAAAATGGTGCAAGGATTTTGACTACATCGTTAGAATGGACTTCTTTTCCCCAGATGCGTACAGACGTAAATGGAACAGTACATCTCTGCAATGCAAATACCATATCAGAGCAACGAATTTCTCCAAGAACCAGGTTTCACTGCGCTGTGCTGCTGTATTAACCGGTGACAACGCCCCTGATAACAAGGAGAATTGTGAAGTGAGGTATGACCGAACCAGCTGGCACGATCTGCAACGCTACTTCCGTCAAATCGATGAATTATTCCAAAAAACTGGAAGAGACAAAGAAATGATGCAAATAAAAGTAAAGCTAGAAGATCTCTTATTCTGATATCGTCAATATGCTAATCTTGGAGCCCTGTATATATCTAATCGATGTAGAAAAGGAACCGTTTTGCTTTTCAAGTTCTCTGTCCCTTCACATAGAATATGAAGCACTCCGAGTCAGGCCCAAGTCAAAGGTCAACACCGTAAAACCCCCATTCTAATGCATTACACGCACACATCCAAACAAAAATATGACACACACACACCCACACACACACACACACACTAGCACGCATACGAACCATCTATAAAAGTCCAACACTTCGAAAGTTTTAACATCGGCAAAGGGTCGACCGAATTTCCAGAGTCTATCGTTCAATACTTCCAGAATCAAACACTTCGAAAGTTTGAACATCGGCAAAGTTCAATAGAATTTCCAGACACCATGGATTTCTCAGCAGGTAAGAATATGTATTTAATCAGTTAAATAGTTAAATATAAATTGAAATACAATGTTTATGTAATTATCCAATTGATAATGATTATGATATAAACTTAGAACTAATCTTTCTGAGTACAAAAATCATTATCCTTATCTGGTCATATGTAATCTGGTACGGTATTTTATCTAAAATTTTAATTTTCATTACATTATATTACAGTGCAAGACCGAGTTAAGCGCATCTGATTCTAGTGTATAGGTAATTAAATTTGTCTCTTAGATCTATGTAGTGATCTAAAATGGAAATGTTAAGTTATTAAAAGTATATTTTATTTGTTTTACTGTTTATAGACAACTTGGTTATTATTTCTGATGATGAGAGTCCCGAAACAACCGCTCATGACCTTTTGAATCTGAGCTCCACACGTAAGTCTTAACATAATATGATGAATGTTTCATGCTGTAAATCTTTCACACGTGAATATAACATTGTTTCTATCATATTCAGAAGTTGAGGGAAACGTGACTAACAGTGCTTTCGGCGGAGATATTTCAGGTGAGTTGTTGTTACCTTCTATTTAAACAGCACTAAATAAATAAAGAAAAACTCTTTCACAGGTTCTGTGACTTATAGATACGAGTGATGCAATAGATTACCAAGAGGAAATCATCTCGGAAACCGACATTCAACAAGACATCGAACTACAACAGATCTGTGCAGTGTGGCGTGAATTCTTCGAAGCATAGACTGATTTATTGGAAAACTTTGGTCAGATTGATTATACACTTGAATCCGGTCGAGGTACAGATTTTGTCCCTTGAAAATGTGAATAGATGTCTCTCAGTGAACATAAAGTTGATTAGAAAATTGTATGAAAGATATGGCGCAGAAACGAATGAAATGCGGTTCGGATATAGAGACTAAAAAAAAAAA